CCCACCCCGATCAGGTATTCTGGATCACCAGGAGTCACCGCGCATCTCCACTCAATGGCTTCCTGGAAGAGTCCAATGTCCATTTTCCTGAAATTCCATCGGCGGGGCAATAGTGGTGATGTACGCCGGGTCGATGAATCCATAATTTCGAAAGAAATGTAAAAATGGTCAGACATGGACTCCATATCGCCACGGACCGACCAATCACGGATTCTGCCGGATAGATCAGAGGAAGTCCAGGTAAGATTTACTATCGATGTCCCCTGGTGGCTCGAAAAAGTAGGGTGGTTTCCGTGGTTTACCAGTCTCCAATCAAGCTGTGATGCCAATTCTTCAAGTGCCTCGCCCCTAACATTAGAGGTACTCGATCCCAAGGAGAGAGCGTGGGCATTAAAATCTCCGCAGATGATCAACTTATTATTGTGTGTTACACAGGAGCAAATGGTGGAAAGCTCCTCCAAGAAATCTGAGAATGTCGGGAGATCAACGTTGGGAGAGATGTAACATGAGAGAATATAAATCTCTCCCAATCTAACCAGTACACAATGTCTGCCACGGGCCTCTAATGTAGCAGGGTGTGTTGTGACCCTGTTATTAATAAAAATGGCCGCGAGATGGTCGTGGCTGTGAAACCACAGTTGATATGGGCTGTGCGTTCGGGCAGGTTCAGAAATCGCGCAAACGGCAGCTCCCATTTCCCTTGAGTGATGAACAAGGAGGTCCTGAGCCTCCTTGTTACCGTTAAGATTTAGTTGGAGACACAAAGTCATCTCTGCGTCGCTGCCCGACCATTAATCATAGGGTCCCTACGTTTCCCACGTGTAGGTTCAACGCTCGCGCAAACATTAAGCGATCCCAATCGATGATCGCTGGATCTTCCGGCATCTCTACAGACGACGCAACAGGGGTCTTCTCTGCAAGCACCGATCTGGTGACCGCGCTTACCACACCTGAAGCAGGCGCCAGTCCGGTCCTCAGGGAAACTGCATGTAGTGCGGACATGTCCGAAACGCCAACATTTATAACATTGGACGGGTCTTGTCTCAAGTAGTTCGACCCGAGCAATGGTCCAACCTATCTTAAGCTTATTCGTGGCTGAGATTTTAATCGCCGCGGATAGGGGGCATTTGACCCATACAGAATTAAGCCCGTTATTCATTTTACGTATACCACCGATTTTAACTAGGTATTCATCGCAATCTCCGACTACTGAAATTTCATTAAGAATCTCAGTCGGGGAGATAGAATCATCGAAATTCCAGATACGTAGCTCGCCCATTGTAGTTGGGCGAGTAATACGTATGTTATTGTTGTCCAAGACCTCTTTAAGCTTTCCTACTAGCGTATCGGCCTTGGAGGTACCATCCGCGCCGGGAATCTCAATAATAACTCCGCCGTTGATACCGCGTCTAATCTTCAAAGTCTCAATGCCGAGAGTGTCCAGGTTTATACTCTCCCGCGCCTTCTTCAAAATATCAGCGTAGCTGACGTCCTCTTTTAGGCTGGTAATCGAGACAGCAGCAGTCTTTGGTAGTCTGCGCGGGCGGATAACCAAACGAGAGCCACCACCGACGACCCCTCGTCGAGATCCATCGTTCCGGACAGTCGCCTCGTTTCGTACGACATCTACGGTAGGCGGTGCAGAGAGCTGCGGGCCTAAAGCCTCCCCGTCGGAGATACCAGAGGTCTCAGTGGTATCGTTCTTGAAGGATGTTCTTTTAATCCTTTTCTTTTTGTAGTTACTCGAGAATTCTTCTGGTTTTGAACCAAATTTAGAGCGCAGTTCTTCCATATTAGTAACTAGTTGCGCAATCTGTCTATTCATGCATTCGAGCATGTAGTTAGGACCATATGTCTTCCTCCATATGCAAAATGCGAGTAGGAGTCTGCGCGGAAGGAGTCTCTCTATCAGATTTTTTGTTCTTTCCAGGAGGAGATCTCTTACTCGAGGTAGGAACTACAATCATATCAGTCTCGGATCCGGAGGCACTTGTAGGGTGTTTCCGGATTTTAATAGTTTTGTCCCGCAGTATTTCAGAGGAAATAACCTTGGGTTTCCTCTGAGGGAGAGGAGGATAGTCTTCCGGGCGCTTTGCTGCCTTCCTAATATCAGTTTTGCGAATATCGGCTCCCTGAGCAAGACTGTTCTCAGAAGGTGCTTTTGAGAAAGATCCTGTGTGATTTGTAGCATCCCTCATACTTCTAATCTCCTCGCGGAGCATCTCGACGTCCCTACGAAGGTCTTCATTCTCCTTACGAAGTATAGAGTGCTCCTTCTTTTGTAGCTCCTGCTCGCGCGTTATCTTGCGCAGTTGAGTCGTGAGGTTTTTGTTTTGAAGTTCCAGATCCGCAATGTCGCCAGTAGCGCCAAGCCGTTCGCGATAAATGTTTATTATCTCGGAGATATTTGCTATGCCATCTCTGAGATAGCCAGAAAAGTTGCCTTTAATGTTCTTGCTGCTCGTACGAATAGTTTCCATTTTTTCTAGGCAATCGGAGGCGCACTTCGTCAATTGCTCAGTATTAAAGGTACGTAAGTTGTTGGCAGACACCGGGTGAATAGTCAGTTTATGTTTCGCCGGTGTCAAAACAGGAGTGTACACTTCGTTCTCCGAAGTCGTGTATCTTCTTTTGAAAGGTTTCGTCGTGTTATCCGGGGAGTTCGACGAGAAACGTTCCTTCCTCTTTTCCCTATTAGAGGCAGGTAGAGGAGGTGCATCCTCGTCGTCGTCGTCGTCCTCTATCATTATAACATCTCCGACTGCACGTTCATCCTGGTGTGTCGACTCCTCAGAGTCAGACACCCCAGGAGGGACGAACGTAGGATCATCCTTCACATCATCAGGAATTTGTGGATCTTCGGGTGACTTCCTATCAACATCCGCGATGATTTTCCTCGCGAGGTCCACTCCTCGATCGTAGTCATCCTCCATATCCACCTCCTTGGTAGTCTCTTTATCAGTTACTGCGCCTGTCCAATCAGGACGCAGTGCTATTTCTGTGTTTTCATTTAGCCCATCGCAGGATTCTGGACTTGGCTTTTTAGGGCCAAGCCCATCGACACGGGGGTCGCTGGGACCGCACTCCTCCCGTGCCGGCCTCTGGGTATCCGAAGTCCCTGAGGCGGTAAGTTTTTTCTCCTTATTCTTACTTTTCATGGTTTGTTTCATTATTTCAGGGGTGTTCTCCCCTTAGGACATTTTAAATTTGGGTGCACCCCGCCCATGGTGCATCCTAGGACCGCTCGTCGAAGAGTTCACAGTGTCCAACTGCGAGTCTTGCAGTTAGGTGTAGGACTGCCAAAGTTAATAATCCCACGCAGAAGTGAGCAATACGTGGGGATTAAAGAATAATCCAAGATTCATTCAATAAGAGACTCTAAAGAGTCAACCTTCCGTAATGACGACTGATGTTCAGTCGTTTCATATGTGTATAATGTTGTTTAAGCAGATATATTCGCATAAAGTCCAATTTAGTATAATTGAAATTAAGATTAATTGCCTGGTATAAATATAAATACAAATGTACGTTTTATTTATTTTATTTTTGTTTATTTTATTTTATTGATATATTTTATTTAGTTTTATTTGTTTTTATTGTTTAATTATAATTAAAGTACCAGGCAATGTACAGAATACTATCTATAAAATATAAATCGAAAGATCAAGAAACACATGAGCCCATCAATGCTATTTCGAATCTCGTATCATGGAAACAAAAATTAGCGTACATGTAAATCCGCCTTAAGGTGACAAAAGTCCCTAGACATGTAGCAGTGAGGGTGCCATTACATGGAGCGCGGAAACGCGGAAACGCGGAAGCGCGGAAGACAAAATTTACTAGATTTCCGTCGATCTGTTCCGTTCATTTGGTTGCCTTGTATTACATGGAGCACAATTTGCGCGGAAAAGCGGAATAGGAAGTTATAAAATAAGAATGTTTAACGGTATTTATTGATTAAAATGCTTGTATTCAATAAATAAACTGAAAAGATAAGCATACTAATACAAATTGCAATGAATTAAGTCAACACACATTTAATAAAGGAATATAAATGTCCAGTTATTACCAGATTGTTCCGCTTTTCCGCGCAGATTGTGCTCCATGTAATATAAGGAGAAATAAACTTGCGGAACGAGCGCATCAAATATTCGTTCTTTTTCTCTGTACCTTTGCACTCAGATACCTCAGGTAGGTTATGTATTTTTACAATATGTTTATAATATATAATATATTTATAATATATTTAGAATATCGTAGACATTTCTCCGTAAAGTTGGAAAAGTGATTTAATTGGTATAAACTATTCGGTAGAACAAGCGCATAAGTGCCCTTCCGCGAGTCGGGCACGATCACCGGATGCGGCACGTAGATGATCGAGTAGAGCTGCTCGTTGATCCTCACGTCGTCTCGCATCTTCCTGCCCAGCAGCTTCCAGATGTGATTGAGATCGGAGCCGAACTTCCGCAGCTCGTCGTCCTCGATGTTCTGCAGGAACTTGGGAGTGGCCGTCCAGTCAGCCGGGTCCCAGTCCTCGAACTCGTGGCCGGGCATCTCGAACGTGTCGTTGACGAACTTCTCCACCTGGTGCTTGTTCGGCGCGTAGTTCATGCTTTTAGCCGTGAAGCTCCTGGTACAGGCTAGTGGCACGTGTGAAAGACTCGACGTGTGAAGTGTCGACTCCAGTTCCGTGGGAAGATTCTGCGGCAGGCAGGACACGCAGCTCTGCTGCACCTCGTTGCTGGCCCTCCTCAACGTCCAGTCTCTGACGTAGACTGCGGTCGTCGCGATCTACCGACGCCGGTCTTGGAATAATTCGAGTAGTTCTGACCGGGACACTTCTGTATCGCGTTGGTGTGACTCCTGCCAACTTGCGACGAGCTTTCTTTGGATGAGCACTTGGCCGGGGTCTTGGTACAAGCGGATGCGCAGGTCGTCATCGTTTCGTCTGTCCTGCAGGGCTAGGTGGCTCGATCACGACAAAAGTGGTGTCCGTCAAGTATATCATGGATCCAAATATCATGTTAATGATTATTATGAAGTTTCTTATTCAAGCAAGAGATGAACCAATGAGACATGCAGAAATAACAATGAAAAAAGTTACTGCAATGTATTATTTGTACTTGCGTTACAAGAAATTGGAAGAGCAAAAGAATCGAAGAATATGGGTACGACCTATTTTTACCGAAGAAAGAAGACTTGCACAAGGTGACAGCAACAATTTACTTGTGGAGATGCAATTGACAGATCCCGAAAAATATTTTAACTATCTCAGAATGTCATCAACAATTTTCAACGAGTTACTCAAGATTGTTGGACCATTGATCGAAAAACAAACAGCAGTTCGAAAACCAATACCGGCTAGGACGAGATTAGAGGTGACTATACGTTGGTTGGCATCAGGTGACAGCATGATGTCGCTATCATATGCTTATCGCATTGCCCAATGCACACTATCACATATTATTCCGGAAACGTGTGAAGCAATTTGGCTCTCTCTACAGAAGAAGGTTATGGTTGATCCAACTGAAGAAAATTGGAGTAGGATTGCAGAAGATTTCGAACTGATATGCCAATTTCCACACTGCATAGGCGCTATCGATGGAAAGCATGTCGAAATTCAGGTATGTATATTATGAATTTATTTACAATAATTCAGGTTCAAAATATTACACATTAATAATGCAATGACATATGTGAAATGAGAAATATATATATCACAATAATGGTTCTCAATTTGCAGGCACCGCCTCGTAGTGGCTCATGCTACTACAACTATAAAGGAAGGCACAGCATAAACTTGCTCGCAGTAAGTGATGCCAAGAACCGTTTTATTATTGTGGATATTGGAGCTGAGGGAAGGCAAAGCGACGGAGGTGTTTTCGAAAACAGCGGATTACCACATCTACTAGAAACGAATGCTCTCCATATTCCTCTACCTACACATCTAAATCATATGGATTCGGATTTTCCGTACGTTTTATTGGGAGATGAGGCCTTTCCTCTGAGATCATATATGATGCGACCGTACCCTCGCAGTAGACAGCTGAATATCAACAGAAAAATTTTTAACTATCGCCTGAGTCGAGCAAGGAGAACAGTAGAATGTGCTTTCGGACTTTTGGTTGCAAGATGGAGAATATATCGTCGACCTCTTGTTGCATGCACACGTACTGCTGTAAAAGCTGTACAAGCAACGGTTGTCTTACATAATTTTATTATTAATAATGAATTAAATCTACCATTTACAGCAAGACGGTATTCTAATATGCGAGAAGAAGAACACAATCTCCTAATTACAAGTACCGGACTTACAGCTGTAAGTCATAGAAATGTTTCGCAAAAGTCTACAGCATTGAAAATTCGAGATAACTTTGCTTATTATTTCGAACATATAAATCCTCTACCATGGCAGTTGGACAAAGTTTTAACTAACAACTTTTAAAACATAGTTTCTCCATTTAATGCATTGTATTCGTAAATAAAATATTTTGTGAATATATAATTCGAAAGTTTTTTGCCACACAATATTCGTATGTAGCCTGTTTTGACGATCTATATTTCTATAGTTTAATAATTTGTACAATGTAATGAATCGAATAAAAAAATATTTTATTTTATATATATATATCATGAAATAAAAAAATATATCAAGAAAGTAATATTTTTATTAGGGATTCTCTCGCTCCGTAAGTTCCATATCCTCCTCTTGGATAGCAATATCCATCATTCTTCTTTGCAGATTTCTGCGTCGTAAGTAGGGTAGTCGGCGTAAAATGTCACCAAGCTGATCTAAATAGCTGTCCACTACATCACGTTTCTTCTGTGACGCTTCATCAATTATATTGAGAAATTTAGTTTCCATATCAGCTTGCCTTTGTGCAATCTTTGCTTCTGTAAATAATAATATATGCCTAATTAATAATCTGTACTTAATAATGCATGATGAGTATTTAAAATACATGAAACCAAAAGACAATTGCCGCATACTTTTCTTTCTCGCCTCTGACGGTGAACATGATCTTCGTGATGATGCGTTTGATGTACTTGCAACGTCCATCGTGGAATCATCACAAGTGAAGTGGTCTGCAGCCATGTCATTCCTTTGCATATCATTGTCATCAAGATGGGATGAATTCACTTCCAAAAGGGGCTGGATGGAGCTGACAGTCCTGGAAACAAAATAATTTTACAAATTATGACATTCAATTGCACGCAATTTGAATGTTTGTAAAATCTCAGTTGAAAGATAATATAAATACTTACGGTGCTGTCTGTAGAGTATCGTCGAGAAATTTCATTTCTTCGTAATGAGCAAAAGAACTACGTAATGGATGGCCAGATTCCGCCCCAGAACCACTTCGCACGTATCCACGCATTTTCTTTCTAGCCTTTGTATACTGATCTCGAAGGTTTTTCCATTTCTGTTTTGCTTCTTCCATAGATAGAGATCCTATGATATTGTACAGAGAATCGTAAATTATTTACTTTATCATGCAAATAATATAATTCATATAAATAATTAAAGAATGATCTCACCATCAAATATGTTTACAATTTCTTGCCAAAGATTGTCTTTTATTAATTTTGTCCTATCTTTCAATGGAATAGAATGGTCCCACAAAGGCCTTCGGGTACGAACTAATTCAATCAGCAACTCATCTTGTGTGAGTGCAGACTGTACATCTCTTTCTTTCGTATGCGGTATATTTTCAGTTTCATGTCTTTTTCCTTTAAAATAAATAAAAATAATAATGACTTAAATTACCATAAAATGACTCAATTATCTGTTCTAGTGGATCAATAATTAATTTTTTACAACATTTCAATGCTTGTGTGTACTTAATAAGTTGTTTAACACTATCTCATATGTAAAATATACATTGTCAAAACCAAAATTTATTAATGTGTAATAATAATTATTTATAATAGCATTCACCATTTTGTAAAGTTATTATGTCCCTCAAGGAAGAACTTTATATGTAATATATATATATATATATATATATATATATATTACAATTATCTTCCATTATAATACGGTAAATTAAACTAAAACGTTATTTAACATACTTATAGTGGCCACGGCATTTTCGTCAACATTTATGGCCTCAGTATTTTCATCATATGCACTAAAACAATGATGGTCTAAAATTGTTCCACATGATCCACGTAAAATGAAACCGCAGTATCCACACTTTATAGCCTGCAAACATATACAAGTGTTTAATTATCTTTATATCACATAAAGTGAGGTTATGACTTCATTCAGTAGGTATTAATATTAATTTTTTTAAAATTTGATTTAAGCGTTATGTCAATTTATTATTAATTTACAAATACTATAATATACTTAATACTCGATACTCAAATACTTACTGGGCCGTTCATTATAATAAACGTTTTACACTTCTTTATATATCTGTTTGCACTTCTTGGCACACACACACACGAAACAGTCAAAACACGCATAAATTCCGCTGTTCCGCTCAAATGAGATAGAAAGAAGCGACGGAAACGCGGAATCTAGTTACTTTCTTTCCGCGTTTCCGCGTTTCCGCGTTTCCGCGCTCCATGTAATGGCACCCTGAGTTTCGCATCATGAGCTTCTCAAAACTCATGCCCAAACCTTGAAGCCGTGCACGAAGACGGTGCGCGGCCAGCTACTCGCACAGCCTAGGGTGGTCATCACCCGGCTGACGCCGGAGGAGGTAAGCCGAGCGGAACGACGAGCAGCGCCGCAGCCGCGGCCAGTCGCCGAGGGGAGCCGGCGAAGCACGCCATCGCCGGTGCTGAGCCGTCGGATTGTTGGACAATCCGCGATATTGGCGGGAGACGCGTGCCTATGGGGCTCTCCCGCCGAGCTAGAGGCAATCAGGCGCGCTGCCGAGGCTTTCGACAGCGCGTACCGTGTCGAATTGTCTCGTGTCACGGTGACCGACACGGTCACGATCACCGCATTGCCGACGCAGCAGATGTGGGAGCAGCCGGGAGAGGAGGCGGAAGACTTGGGCAGCCCACCTAGCGGGGAAGGCGAGTCGCAGGACGAGGGGGACAACCCCGTATAGAAATTTTAAGAGATTGAGACGCTCCGAGGACGGGATTGTAAATAGATCTTTCCTTTTATAATAAAGTTATGTAGTCTATCCGTCCGGCGTGAAGATATGCGACAGCGGTCGCTGGGCAGCGGCCCACGTAGCACATAAGTTTTCTTTTCTAGCGATCCACAAACAGTTTGTTTTCTTTTCTCGGCACCGAGTGCCAGGCCCGACCAGGAAGCAGTTTTTATTTTCATTTAATAGGTACGTGGATCGTAAGGAGCACCGGCACGATGATTGGTCGAGCCACACACAATCTTCATCGCGGGAACGCGGGATTAAGACAGCGCGCACGTCAGGCGAACGAGAGTCGAGATGCCGACTCCTGACATCCTCACAAGAGGATTATCCAGAAATTAGCGCGATCCGACCGCGCAAACGTGGGGTTTGCCGGACACCCGGCGAAACACATGAAGGAGGCGCCGGAGCGCTAAATGGCATGAACTGCCGCCAGAGGGAGGCTTTACCGACCTCTGGAGACTATCGCGAAAACGATCCGATCGCGCGAACCCCAAGTTTGCCGGACACGTCACCGAATGACGAACGCGGCGACGCAGCGCCAAAAGGCTTAACATGCCGCCAGAGGAAGGCTTCACCGACCTCTGGAGACTATCGCGAACGCGATCCACCCGCGCAAACACCTGGTTTGCCGGACAAGGGGTAAAATGGCAAGCGAAGTGTCGTAGCGTCGCGGCATGAAATATGCATGTTCAGGGGTACGAACAGACCCTAGAGACCGAACGCGAACGCGATCTGACCGTGCAAACACCCGGTTTGCCGGACAGACTTAATATCGTGAACCGAGCGTCGGAGCGAACGAAGAGTCGATATGCTTACTAGAGGAACGTAGATAAGACATACGAGTCCAGCGCGAGCGAGATCTGACCGCGCAAACATCCGGTTTGCCGGACAGATCCGATATCTTGAACGGAGCGTCGGATCGGCGTGAAATTAAATATGCGTACTCGGGGGAGGTCGAGAAGACATCCGGATCAATCGCGATTGCGGTCTGACCGCGCAAACACCCGGTTTGCCGGACAGATGATAAAAACTAGGATTGCGTCACCAGGGACACCTGGTACACCCGAATATCGAAACGCGATCAAAATCCGACCATCCTAACGGGGAGTTGTCCGGACAGTCCGGACAACTAGTAGTTTCGGACGTCGGCTACAGGAAGTAGGGCCGGAATACGATCGATCAGGGCCTAAAGAGTGGGCATCTGGGTCGCCGCCATTGGCGGACGTTTTAAACGCGATCCAGACGTCTTCTCCAGGAAGTTGACGCGGAAGCATGATCTAGGATCTCCGAGAGACCTTGCGCACCGGTCGGCGTTGTCATAAGTTCATAATTGTAAAAGTTGAATTGTTGCTACCCGGAAGTCGGAAGAGCGCGACGCATATAATGTACTAGCGTCGGAAATTTCCATCGCGAACATCTGGCGCACACCTGTCGTGCCGAAACGCGTAAACACCTATTGTTCGAGCATCGTCATGGAAATTTCCAGAGAGGAGAAAGCGGCCGAGGCCCTATGGAAGGGGAAAAACCTCGGTAGTAGGGAGCCCGAGAGAGCAACGTTTCTCGAGGCAGTCTCTCGTGGGCGCTCGAAGGTAGCAATCTCGCGCGTATCATACCGGCGTATCGTTGAAGAATATTCGCGAACGCGAAACGGAATACGAATAATTAAGCCTACCTCAGTGTCTATTAACAAACGGGAACGCCCGCCAACAGCGTTACGTGACGTCGATACGAAAGATGTACGGGTTATCGCGTACCTTAATCGTGATATCGCACTTTGCGAGACGTGCGACCGCCATCTTATGTGGCAATCGTTAATTGTGAACCACCAACATTGTGCAACTATAGTTAACAATAAAAGCAATCGTTATTTGCAAAAATCCAGACGAAAATATCTTTAGAATAATAATTTCTTTCGCCAGTATATAGAATAACAATTAAGTAATTTAAATCGACCGTGACTGGCAATATATAACGTCTTTTCGATATGAACATTGAAAAACTGTGAGCCAACTTGGTTTGTCGGATTCACACAGCACTTTTTTCCGGATCAATCATCGAGACATTATTAATTTTGACCATGGTTTTTGGTCAGTTGATGTAATTTCTAAATTAAATAGTTTTTAAATTTTATTGCGAAAAATATTACCCCAGCCAGGGTTTGAACCTGGAACCTCCCGTATACCGTGCGGGCGTCGTGCCAATTCGACCACTGAGGCTGTAGTAATATTCATCGCAATAACAACTATAAGATGGAGCACCGATTATAGAAAATATCTTTACTTACCCGGAAACTTACCTGAACAAGCGATTGTCCGGCCATCTTGGTGATAGCGTGGTCCGATCTTCAAGGTCATCACAGATTCTACTTCAGGGGAGGCCAATGATGAGGCAACCGTAGCGGAAACCTAAAAAAAGTTGATATTAGTCGTAGTTACGCGGACAGTTCTCGTACTTACCTGGTTGTCCGGCTATCTCCTAGACGCGTTGATCCTAGACATCGGTGAGCAGCGGTGATCTACGACATCGGCGATGGTGATGAAGCAGCTGTCGACGAAACCTGAAAATAAAAGAGAATTAGTAGCGTTTTACTTATATTAATGTCGGGACTTAGCCGATCAAGCGGTTGTCCGGCTATCATGGTTCCACGGACGGGGTAGATGAATGGTTGATAGTGGAAACGATTGGCAGAGCATCCCAGAGGAGGCAACCGTGGCGGGAATCTAAAAAGTCAAAGGGTTAAGAAGATATTACCTGATCAAGCAGCTGTCCGGCTAGCAGGTATCCCTGGCTGGCCGATTGAGGTCATACCTAGCGGTATCCAGAGCTCAGGCGACGCCTATCGAGCAGTTGTGGCGGGATTGAAAAAATAAAATTGTTTAAACAAATTGTTCACATTTTGGCTGATTTCCATTACGAATACCTACCTTCTCGGTATATAAAGGTTAAACCGAGTGGCGACCGATGACTAATAGGACAAAATAGCGTACCCCGTGGCCCGATTATGCATCGTTCGGTCACAACCTAACCTAACCTTGCGACCGCAAGATGTCGCAGCGCGCGCAGCGGTAGAACGGGTGTCGCGGGTCGTGCTGCGCCGTATCTCCGAGGACGCGATGCGGCAATTTGCACCGCCGGCCGAGCAAAGCGACGAGTCGGCCCGTAAGGAGGCCGAGAAATGGGCGGTAGAGGTGGACCCGCCCGACGCGACCGCGGATCCGATACCGGTGACACAAGCGCCGTTAGAAGGGGGTCAGGCCGCGGAGCTTCCGATCCCGATCAACCTGGAAGTGGTGCAGGCCATCGTCGCCATGCTAGAATCGGAGCAGGCCGCCCGGCCTGACGAGCAGGCGATAGGTGTAGGAGAAGGCGGGACGGACCCGGAGCCGCCAGCAGAGTCCGCAAACCAGGACGACGCGTCCAGCGTTAGCTTCCGGAGCCCGGAGAGCAACGCCGAGGATGAGAACAAGGACGAGGGACAAAGGGTCCCTACATAGGTTTAATTAGTGTTACCAGCGTTCCGAGGATGGGGACACACTTGGACGAACGTCCGTTAAATTATTTTGTTTTGCTGACCCGCAGGGTCGAGATTTTGTTTGCCACAACACGCCCCATCCGGCGCCATAGTATATAGGTTATGACAAGTCGCGCAATTGTTTAGTTTTAGTAGTTTCGGCTCAAGCCATATTTAGTTTATTTTTGTTTTGTACCGTTGAGCGCGCGAACGGTCGAGAGCGCGTAAAACCGCAGGGCAAGGCTTGAGCCACACACACTTTCCAGGAAAGGAGAGGCGCACGAAGGGGCGTTTCTCCGTATCTAGACGAAGGACCAGCGGAGGTCAACAACCGACCACGGCGTAACGACAGACAGTCGGGAATACTCAGGGCGCAGCGGCGCTGAAAACCGGCTCAGGGGAGCCAAGATGGCGGACCGTCCGCAATTTCGTTTAATTAAAAATTCTCGTGTTAATGAACGGTCCCTGATCGAATCGGGGAGCCCGGGAAGCAACCGTAGATAGAAAAGATCGCATTTCGACCGCGAGAATAGGAAATGGCGGACCGTCCGTAATCTACGAAAAAGCGATCGGGGCGTGATATCGCGCGGTGCCTGACGAAACTACGAGGCACGAGAAAGTCACATAGCCGAAAATCGTGACGATCCGATAACGAATACGCGAGTTAAGGAACCGTCCGCGAGGTTCCACTGGGTGCGTCATCTGCGGGGACAAACCGTCCCTGACGAAAGGGGATGTCCCAAGGACGAGACAGGGCCGATCGCCATCAAGATCCGACGACCGGGTCACGAGTTAGGGTACCGTCCGGAACTATGCACCAGGTGCATCATCTCCGGGAACTGAGCAGCCCTGACGAGGGAGGAGGGCCAGATTAGGCTCCGTACCGCGCGCCGTCGAACTCCGACGACCGGGAGACAAGGTAGCGTACCGTCCGCGAACTCGCACCGG